ATTATGGCTATCCCAAGTGTTGTTGAGTCAACCAGTGCGGATGTTACTGCTAACATGGTGGAGAACCCGCTGGCTGAGCTCCTTGAAGTCCTCGGTATTGCCGATTCAGCAATGCTGAACGCTCACTACTACTATGGTTATCTGTCGCTGAGTTAGAGGCTGCCATGGAAGGTCAATCTCTTAGTAAGAATGTCTATCTACGACGTACCTTCTTCACCCTTATGGACGCCGAAGGCCCTAATTCATCAACTCCAATCACCTGGCTCGAGCCTCTGACCACACCCTGAGCCACGATAACGAGAGATAGAATTCCGACGGCGAACCACATAGAAGTACAGGGGAGACGGATCGAGACGAGAAGACTGAACTGACAGGAGAGAACGAGTGACGCCGCGTTCAGCCGCATGAAATTTTCAACAACGGGGCGCTGACCGCGATGAACTTCGACCGGGAGTGGAGGTAGCATAGGAGATGTTGTGCCAGCGGCCCTCACGTTTGGCCGTTCATAACGAGCACACTACAAACCCCAACGGGTACCCCACAAACGCGCAACGGACATGTCGCATAAACCATTACGACGATCTAAGCAGCCGCCTCCAACGGTGATCGTGTCTGTCTTGACTTCTTCATTTTCTTATAGTTGGTCTATCCGTGTACGGTTTGTGGCAGGTTTACACCGCATAAGGTTGTGCGGAATCTTGGTGAACGGAGGTGTTCGCGCACGTATACACGAATCTCGCTCGCTCGTTATTCGCAGCATGAAACGGCTCGCAGCCCTCAGGCTGAAATGGATGAGAAGATAAGAGGCCTTATTACCCTTTATGGCTATCCCAAGTGTTGTTGGGTCAACCAGTGCGGATGTTACTGCTAACATGGTGGAGAACCGCTGGCTGAGCTCCTTGAAGTCCTCGGTACTGCCGATTCGGCAATGCTGAACCCTCACTACTACTATGGTTATCTGTCGCTGAGTTAGAGACTGCCATGGAAGGTCAATCTCTTAGTAAGAATGTCTATCTACGACGTACTCTTATTCTCAAGCTGCAAGCCTCTGAGAGGCTTCGGAGGCTTCCTCTTCGAGAGCCTTTTCGAGAGAGGCTGGCTCTCTCGAAGGCCAGCAAACACAGTACATCCATAGCAGGTTACATCTTCTGCTCCCACTGTGCAGGTCCACCCTCAAGGAGTGCCCCAAGCCCCTCTCATGCAAGGTCAACAACACCTTTCTAACTACGACATGATAGCGTAGTTCATCTATGCGCCACGGTGGCGTATTGGTGTGATCTATCCCACAACTATGACAAGGAAAAGGCGCTTGATACAACGACAGCCATCAATGCTGTTTCTCATATCAACAAGTGCCCCGACAACACAACGCCGACAACACATATCTCCGTGGTGTTGGGCATTTCTTCGATTGATTGACAGGTCCGATGGTGTCAAGATGTGGATGGCCGCTACGAGTTGATTATCGAATCTGCTGATGGTCAGGTATGATAGAAGTCTGCTGAGACCCCGGGTTCGATCCCAGGGACGGGAATTTTTACAGAGCTACAGGTCTACACCTTTTCCCGTGCAAGTTTGACAAGTGAGTAGACAAGAATGACAATGTTATCATCAAGAGTGACAATGAGAATCCAAGTTTGTCACTTTTCTATCTTGTAACAACCAACATTGACAATGAGAATCCAAGTTTGTCACAATCTAAATTTGTTGCAATCAAGATTGACAATGAGAATCCAAGTTTGTCACTTTTATATTTTGTAGCAATCAAGTTTGACAGTGAGAATTCATGTTTGACACTGGCAGAATATATTACAATCAAGAATGACAATATTCCACACGAGTTTGACAATACTCACACAAGTTTGACAATACACATCCAAGTTTGACATTGAAGTGATCAAAGCCTATACCAAGGAGAAGCTGAGTGAGAGGGACCCGATAACAGATAGGCATAGAGCTGAAGAGCAACACATGTTCTTATACCCGTACCGGGAAGATATGCTGCGAGGAATGTGTGATGATGCTATGTAAAAGCTTACCACTGACAAGATAGGAGCCGTGTATAGGCTATCGGATACTTGGGAACAAAGGGAGTCAAGGGGTCGCTTTTTGAATTCTTTCGATGTCATCTCAAGTTTACATAGAGCTCTCGATGACTCGGGAGCCTCCTTACTATGTAATGCGTGTGATTTTTCAAGTGGGCAATCAGTTTAAACCGTATGTCAACATATCGAGTCGAAGTGTCAAACTTGGACGTGTATTGTCAAACTTGTGTGCGTATTGTCAAACTCGTGTGGAATATTGTCATTCTTGATTGTAATATATTTTGCCGGTGTCAAACATGAATTCTCATTGTCAATCTTGGTTGCTACAAAATAGAAAAGTGACAAACTTGGATTTTCATTGTCAATCTTGATTGTAACATATCTCGA